GAGAGAGAGAGAGAGAGAGAGAGAGAGAGAGAGAGAGAGAGAGAGAGAGACCTGCAGCATGCAGCATGTCAGTGGCGGGGAGCACAAGGGCAGGCGTTGACCTCCAACAAAAAGAAGTAATTTTATCGGAATACAAGAGTTTTTTTTTTTCGGAATCCGAATAGAAAGGGTACAGGTATTCGAATGCAATGTGTACGTATGCTATTCGAGGAACTCTGCTATTCGAGAAAAGTGGACCCGCACCGTTTCAATTTCGAAAAAGAACTGCGGCCTCCTTGGCCTCCTATGCGCAGCTACCGGTCCTACGTGGTCCTGGACCAAAACCCGTGCGGTCCCACGGGCAGCTACCGGTACTGCAGTTTCAAATAAGATGCCACCACCCCCTAAACTGCCATGCCTTGTTTTTCCAGCCTTGACTGCATAATGAACGACGACGGAAAATGTTCTCAGGGGCATAAAACGCACCCCTGACGGGCTGCGAATATCCCAAACCCACCTGGATGACATCTCGAAACCCTCCGCTAAAGACTCAGCAACCATTTGTGAGTATGTTAAACTCTTCTATGAACAACTATTCACCTCAGAGAAACCCCCCAACTCTTCCATCGTCCCTCCCCACCTAGAGCACATGCTGTGGGATGTGACAATACACATCCTTTCAGACTCAGAATCACAAGTATTAGAATCCCCTATCACACTTAAAGAACTAACTCCAGCCGTTAACAGCATGCTGTCGAAATAACGACACTACTTCACCAAGCTTAGGATAGCAGTAATCACGGCAGAATCAGGAACAACCATGCATACGACCATTGCACACAGACAACAAGGATAAGTGAGAGGGAAAGGAGGGGAAGGAAAGGAGGAAGACGACGACCAAGTCAAAGTAATCCCGAACGCGACGTTACGTAAAATAGTCATGAAGAACAATCCGAATGTGAATTNAGGGGAAGGAAAGGAGGAAGACGACGACCAAGTCAAAGTAATCCCGAACGCGACGTTACGTAAAATAGTCATGAAGAACAATCCGAATGTGAATTCGGTTGGCGAGCGACCCGACCGGTTTCGGCTGGCCGCCAATGCCAGCACTCATCAGGGGTCTGTCGATATGGAATAGATTTGACTGATCTTTTAAGGAAAACCAGGGAGTTCCTACTACTAGCAGTTCAGATTATAGGGCTACTGACTAAACCAACGCTACTATGAAAATTTCCTAAAAAAGAAAAAGAAGAAAAAATTCATGTACCCTGGTTCAATGTAAACAGAAGTCACGCCTCATACTTAGCCTCAGAAAATACCGACACACTTACACCCGACACACCTACTGCAGTTACCGGATCAAGAGGTACCGGTATCGAGTCCACACCGTAGTCGCACATCATAGCCCGCTCCGTGCGTCACCGTAATACTTACGTCCGGGAGTCCTATAACAACTATCAAAAACAAAAGGTACCGGTATTGAGCCCTCATAGACACATACCAAAGGTCCGCAGCGTATCTTAATACAAAAAGGCCGCTTCCTACTGTTCATACCAAAGGTTACCTGTTCGAACCCCACAATCACTCAACTTATAGCAACCGAAAGGCATCGAACCCCTCAGTCCGAAAACAACGATACCGGCTTCAAATCCCTCCACACTTAACTCTCAAGCCAACGACGTCAGTAATTCGAATCACCACAGACCTAGTACTGATACACACCGGAAAACAAAGATACAGACTTCAAATCCCCTGAATCACCAACTTGTTCATGCACCAACGATCTTTGGTGGTCCAACCAAAACTACTTCTTATCAATGAACAATCTGCCCCAGCCCGTGAGCACATGCAACCATTGATGCCATAGCCCTCCAAATTTTCGGGAAAATTTGATCAAAGCATCGTCAAAAATGTCATCAGGGTAAGCTCGCTTACACAGTTCCATCTTTAAAGAAAAAAGGAAGGGAAGTTCAGTGCCCGGGACGGTAGCAAAACGCCTTCCACGATGTAGAAACGAACCAACTACAGCTATCTTCTGTTGTTTGCTTGAGAACGAACAGTAATCCTGTATACTCTGAAAAATCAACCGTTCTTCCACCGGCACTCTCTGGTTCTTGTGGATTGGGAGACTTACTACCTCATTACTTCCGTTGAAGATTTTAATCACACACCCAATATAGTCCCAGCAGTCACCTATGCTAGTTTGTTCCAAAATCAAATTACTGTCGTAACTGCCCTGAAATTCATCCAGAATCTGTCTGGCTCTCATCAGCGACACCTTGTCCCCCTTCTGGTACCTGACGAAAACCGAAACGTCATCAACGAGTCGAAGACCATGAAACAGTGCCTTATCCGAACTCAAGGAAGACAGAAAGAGGAACTCATTAAAGGCACACAAAAGACAGGCGAGCGCTGGGCTGGAGGACTTGCCCATGGGAATGTCAACTTCTTGCTGCAGCACACAACCCGAAGCCGACACGAACGTGTTGCAGAGCTCAAACTCCACGAAGGAAAAAATGATCTCAAACTTCATCACTACCCAACCATCTTCACTTCGTTTCTTCACAAGTTTCGCACCTCTCCCCCTCCTCTTGACTGCGACACCCATACACTCCCTATCTTTCCAAAAGTCGATCACCCAAGAAACCGCCCGAAGGATAGAAGGGTGGGGGAGGTTAGAGAACATCTCCTTGACGTCAAAGGACGCGCCCAGCAACCCTTCTTCCTTCTTAACACCTTTGTTGACCGCCTCTAGTCCAGACACAAGATCATCTACACATCTCAAATTGAGGTTAGAACGCCGGGGTAAACTCCACAAATCACAGTTGACAGCCTTGGAAATTAGCTTCCCCCCTACTGCAGATCCTTCCGAGTAGGAGGGGCAGATTGGTCTCCAACGTTCGGTATCCTTATGCTTTGGTAGACAATAAGCTCTTCCCAATTCACAATCTTTCTTCCACTTCCCCACAGTCTCCAGCCCCTTGGTCTTATAACAAACTGCTACATCATCCAACACACAACGTTCATCAACCTCCCATAACTTGAAGGACGGGTTGTTAGAAAACAGTTTCGCCATCCCCCCTATGTGCCTCCCATGTTATGGTCGAGCGGGAAGCACACCATACCGCTTAACATATCTCGGAAGGATAAAACATCATCTTCACTGTAGGTACGCTCAATCATCGAAACTCCATCAGTAACGCAGAAACAGGAGGAGAGATCATCAAAGGTGGAAGAGGAAGACTTAAGTGAAGGAATGGACGAATGAAAGCGGAAAGCATCGAGAATTTCCCGCTTAAGAGTCATGGAGGAATGTCGTCGAGACGGTCTAAGTATATTCTTACTATTCTGCATCCATGGTGGGAATATCTCTAACTCCGAAATTCGAACGGACACGTGACCATCGAGCGACGGGAATTTGCTGACAACCGACTCGCAACAGCACTCAACATCACTACTCCTTGCATACTTCCGGAAGTTGTGCAGAAAATATCCAATCGTACGGTTTCTGCGCCATACAACTCTCATTCAACGAACCAACACTTCCTTCCACACCAACGGAATTTCCAACTCATGAATTAGCCGTGCGCAAATCCTTCTAACCTTGGATTTCTGGATGTTATCGTTGTATACTAACTTCACCACCAATCGTTCCCGCACATGGACACCAAATCTCTCCACGATACATTTGGATAGAATACATCGGAGCCTTCCTCATGACCGCTTCTCTTTGAATGTGCAAACCGCCGTGAACGCGGCAACAAGAGACTCAGACGACCAGGAACGAAGAGATAAGCGAGCAGGAGGATGGCTGAGTAGAGGGATGAGAGAAGGTTTGAGGGCCAGGGACCGGCTAAGGAAAGGGACAATAGACTCGAAAGTGAGAGTGACACCATCCTTAAGCCAACCTCGAGCATGCCGAAACAAACCACGATCGAAAACGCAAGAGACAATGGACCCACCGTACATCCGCCTAAGAAGCTTCCATTTGTCCGAAAGTAACTCACCACCTCGACAAACAACAACAACTCGATGACTCGATACATCAGTGCACTTATCCAGAATTGACTGAAGACTACGGGTTTGACCTCCATAACTCGGAAAAAGGGAAAGCAGCGACTTTGAGCCCAGATCCACCCTTCGATCGGTCTTCAATCCTTTCTTAGCATGTCTCTTCCTCTCTTGTAACCCCGGACGTGATCGTTTAGATCTACGAACCTTATCTATAACGTTCAACGAAGGGGAAAACAACCGAATGAAGAATTTCTCACAGGATCTTACCTCCTCCTCAGTCGAAACACGTAAAGGTATAGCAATATACTTATGGACGCCTACACGTCGGAGCCACCGATACAGCTTCTCGTTCCTACCACCCCCATTCTCAGCTCCAGAGTTACAACAACGGTACACATGTTCTCCCCACCGCGTGTGCAGATCCCTGTTCGTGGTCCCAATATACAAGTGCCAACACCATGGCGAGAATAAGGCATAAACCAACGGTCCCTTAGTCGTCTCACAGTCAAAATCACTCAAGATTACGTGTCGAAGAAACCCGCCCAGCTTAACACCCCATGGGATCTGACCCAAATCAATCAATGACAACACAAGGAGAAGGAGCAAGGAATTAAGACATCTACGTCGTACCCACTCATTTGACAACGAACGTACGCGAACACAACAGCGAAGAAGATTCCAAAAACACGACGCGCTCGGGAACGAACCTACGAAGTGGCCGAGTCATCATTGACCTCGGTCCTGTCGTTCCCCCCCGCCCCCTTCTTCACCATCCGTTACATTGTGAATGACAACTCCGCCTTTCTTGATAGTCCCATCACGAGTCTGACCAAAAGCCACTTCAGCCCGTCTCTGAGCCAGATCTTCCTTGGTTTTTGAGAGTAGATTAAGATACGCCTTCTTTAGCACACAATGCTACGATCTTCTCCTTTTTTAATGGTTTCAACGCCTTACGAGTTTCAACCAGGAACGCCTCTCGATCATTAGCCTCTACTGCCAGCGCGGCCGGACTTAGCTGTTTCTTACCTTTCTCCGTGGTTGTGGCCGCCTTGTCTAATCGCGCCTTCAGGTTAGACGCCATAGGAGTAGACCTTTCAACTACAAGCCTCGCCATCTTCTCTTTCAGACGGTCAACCTCTTGTTCCGCCTGACCCCGTCTGTTCAGTTCACGCAATCTCCATTCCTTCAAGAGTTCTATCTCATGTTCCTGATGTTCCACTTTCTCTTTGAGCTTAAGATCGTGCACCGCTGGTGAAACCACTGTCTCCATGTGAGCCCGAGTCCTGGTTCCAGGCACCGGAGTAGCGGTAACGACCACGCTGCCTCGTTTGTTTCCCGGCCGAAGCGCTTCGTTTTTCCACACATCAGCAGCAGCATTCACCTCTTCGTTAAGTGTTCTTAACCTAGCAATCTCTTCCTCCATAGTTGCGAGTCGTCGATCGGATCTGGCCTTGTCGTCCTCAAGTTCTCGTTTATACCTGTCAAAGGTGCTTTCGGAGGTTGACGCCACTTGACCAGTACGTAACATGGCGCGCAACCCTTCAATCTCGACACGCAGCTTAGCGACTTCATCTCCATTGTTTCCTTTCTTACTCTCTAGCAGCTCACGCACCGAGTCTAACTTCGTACCGATCTCACTCCTCATTTCATCCTGAAAGTTTTCCCGTGCTTTCTTCTCTTGGAGTCTCCGTTCCTCTTCTTCCTTCTCTTTCTTCAAATGTTCTTCTTCTTCCTTCTTAGCGCGTTCCTTGGCAATCTCCGCATCTTGATGAGCCTTGATGCCTGCGAGCGAAGCCTCCAGCGACTCCACACGAGGTCTCAATCCTCCTCCATATCCGCCAGAGCCACCTGCTACAGGGACGTTGACGGCTGGAGTGCTAGGAACCGTGACTAAAGTCGTACTAGGATTGGTGGGAGCAGCAGCAGGAGAAGAAAAGGTAAACCGACGATAAGGAAGAGGGCAAAAACGAGAAAGGTGCCCAAGCTGTCCACAGTTGTAACATTGGCGATTAGCCATCGGCTGACCAGCGTTATGAGTCATGATACCGCGCAGACAAGTAACACCGAAGCCACTCAACTGTAGTACTACCTCTACGACGGTTACTCCGAGAAGGGAAGTTGTCGAAATGACGACACTACTTCACCAAGCTTAGGATAGCAGTAATCACGACAGAATCAGGAACAACCATGCATACGACCATTGCACACAGACAACAAGGATAAGTGAGAGGGAAAGGAGGGGAAGGAAAGGAGGAAGACGACGACCAAGTCAAAGTAATCCCGAACGCGACGTTACGTAAAATAGTCATGAAGAACAATCCGAATGTGAATTTGGTTGGCGAGCGACCCGACCGGTTTCGGCTGGCCGCCAATGCCAACACTCATCAGGGGTCTGTCGGTATGGAATAGATTTGACTGATCCTATTTAAGGAAAACCAAGGAGTTCCTACTACTAGCAGTTCAGATTATAGGGAGTTAACAGCATGGCCAAGGGCAAGTGCCCTGGCCCAGACGGGCTCCCAGTGGAATTCTACCACCCGACCTCCCCTGTGTCTTCAATCAGAAAAGGCCTCATTAGGCCCACGCATGGCCGAAGGTATCATCACACTCATTTATAAAAAAAGGAGATAAAGAGAACGTTCGAAACGGCAGACCAATTTCCCTCCTCAATGCCCACGGCAAGATCATAGCCAAGACGCTTGCCCGTCGCATTAACCCCCTCCTAAATAAACTAGTTCACCCGGACCAACCTGGCTTCGTCCCAGGTAGGCAAGTACTTTATAATGTCATGACTATTTCACAATCCATAGACTGGATCAAACAACACAATTTGAACAAAGTTGTAATCCTTGTCGATTTTCAGAAAGCTTATGACCGAGTCAACTGGGATTTTGTCCAAGCCACACTCGAAAGAGTGGGGGTAGGGGAAAATTTCAGAAATTTTGTTAAAGCCTTGTATGGAGCATCATCTGGTAGGGTCTTAGTTAACGGCACCCCTCTCCATTTAGAGTTACTCGCTCCCTTCGTCAAGGTTGTCCATTAGCCCCCTCCCTCTTTCTCATTCAACTAGAAGTTCTCCTTGACATGGTCAGACAACACCCCAACTTCGAAGACCTTCAAATAACTCCCACATACTGGATCAAAGTGTCAGCATTAGCTGATGATTTCTCGACTATCTCAAAAAACACTGCCTCCTCACTCTCAGCACTTGAAGAATGTTTATCCACATACGAACTAGCATCGGAGATGAGGGTTGTGACGCCCAAACTCACGCCCAGCGCAACTTCCTGCTTCGGAGTGATAGGGGGCCCGAAAGTGCGTAGTAGGGGTGTGCCAAGGATTTTAGGAAAGTGGGGTGGAGTCCCAGGTCAGAACTGAGATCTCTAGTGTAAAGTTTCAGGGATGGAAATGCCAGTGGTCGCTGTGCGGGGTCAGGTCTTGGGTTTTGCCCTCTTCGGGGTCGATCAACTAATTTCGACGGCCCCGCCGCCTTGGGTGGGCTCACACCTGGTGCACCGATGGAACTTAGTGGGTGTCTCTCTGTTCAAACACCTGTCGCCAGCGAGTTTCACAGATCTTTGAGTCTGATGTGGACGGCCTCAGCCAGAGACTGTGTTTTCGGCGCTCCGCTTCGGTGCGGGTCCGTCGTACGAATCCCTTTTCTCTGTAAGTGTTGTATTGATGGCATCATGGCACTCAGAACACGGACTTTGAGGCCAGCAGTGCGCAATCGAATCCCAGGGAAATATCGTCAAGTGGTGATAAGGGAGAAGAAGATAGAATGGGGGGAAGTTGGTTTCAATAACGACGAACCCCGACGTAAGATGGTATTGAGAGTTACGGGGGTCGGGGTAGTCCTGGGTTCGGGAATTCTATTCAAGGGCCTGGTGGAAGTCCCACGCACACAGCCGATCATTCTCCGTTTGGCAGGGGTAGGCTGGAAGTCGTAAGTTCAATCAGCGGAAAAGTTGTTCGTTCTCCCAGTAGTCCCTGTACTCGAGGTTCCTCGGATTGGCACGATCGGTGATCCAGACGGGAACGTCGACCTCCATATTCGGCAAGAGGAGCTTAACTCATACATTTGGTTGTGCAAAGGAGGGGAGGTGTTGGGTCAGGCAGGCGCGCGTATACGTGACGACCGCCGTTTGGCGATCACTCGTATACGTGCACGTGATTCACTCCCACCGAATTGGGATCAGCTCAGATAGATCGGGTGGTCGTTCGTCGATCATAGGGGATGAAGTGAGCATCACATTCCTATTCATCAGAGGTCAATTATGTGCAATTGATGCATGGAAAAAATCCAATCCCCACTCAGGCATATACGTGGATCGCGACCTGTTCGCTGTATATACATCCGCCCCGATGCAACTCGATCGCACAGTCGATCATCACAAGGACATAGCTGTTTCAAAAATGGGCGGAATCACATACGTCTCCACGCATCAGTAAGACGTTTATCTTGCGCCCTTGTTTCTTCAATCGACAATCCTTCATACAATCATAGTGAAGAGGGGGAGATAAAGATGCTTCATACATCAATCGGAGAAAAGACAGGAAGGTTCAAAAAGTGTTGCAATTGAAAATGGTCGAAGCCAGAGGTCAAAAATTACGCAGGATGTGGAGAGAATAATTCCCCCTTCAGCACACCGCCTTCTTTCCATCTCTCTCTCTCTCTCTCTCTCTCTCTCTCTCTCTCTCTCTCTCTCTCTCTCTCTCTCTCTCTCTCTCTCTCTCTCTCTCTCAAGATCCCCACAATGCGGGCAGTTCGTCGCCTCGCACCTATCGATAACCCAAATTTGTCACCCTGCTTGGTCTGAGTATGCAAGCCACGTTCGCACGTATGCGATGGTCCTTCGCGGCCACACGTCAACTTCGCATACTCGGCACCAGCTCATCGGATCGCCCAACTCTCGATCACCTTTCTGTCTCCACTTGTTAGCTGATCCTCTCGGCCTCGCTAACTCCCAAGTGTAGATTAGAGACCGATTTAGTCGCGCATGCGAGCTTTATAGTAGTCAGTAGGTGCGCGAGGTAGTTCCAGATTATGCTGAAGCGAGAGGCAGAAAGGAAGAGGAAGTGTTTGCGGGTGCGTTACGGGGTCGCGGTGTGGGGGACATAGCCACTCTCCACGCATCAACCCAGTCATGCATCTGCAGGCCAATGAGAAAGACAGGAAAAGAAGCGCAGAGGACTTCGCGCGGCAAAAGAAAAGGAAAGAGATCAAGAAGCAAGAGGATTACAGTTACACCTGCGCTCGCGAAGAAGGAGCACGAAGAGACATTGCAGTTGCAATTCAGAATTTAGGTGCGGCGGGAGCAGGGCGTAGAGCAGTACATAGTAATGCGCGTGTGAACAGGGAGCCCTGTGCCGTTAGAGCCAAAAAAATATGATGCTCCTAAATTTCTATCCTAATTAAAATCCTAATTTCAAGAAGAATTTCCGAGAACCTGTGTACGTTCCAAAATTCAAAAAGAAATGCAAGAGACTTCCCCATGCGGTAATCGCGCCAAAAATTCCCCGCCCAGTTTCGTCGTCATCAAACAAAAAGAAAGAAAAGATGCTGCGTCAACCGTTATTTTCTGCGCTTGCTATGGCGCGCCCTCCCAAGCGTCATGGTCCTAGCCGAAACAATTAGTGCAGTCGGGCCTGGTCCTTTCTTCTACACCCCTCCCCCCCTTATTTACAATCCCCCCCCCTCAGTTCTACTTCGCAGAAGATAGTGCCCTTACAGAAAAGAGATCGACACAGGGTCAGTTGGCAAAAGTCAGTTGCCCTCACCTCCAACGACCAACCACTAGCGATAGACTTAGGCATTCATGTGAAACCAAAATCGGAACCCGAACGCTACCTAGGAATCCAAGTTTCTTTTGGGGACCCCTCGGGACCCCAAAACACTATCATTGAGAACAAAATTCGAGACGCCTGCGCTTCTTGGTCCAAAACCCATTTCCCATCCCAATTTGGCATAGCAATGGTTATTAACACTTTCATCCTATCTGAAACCTGGTACATTTTATCCAGCACCACCCTCGACCTCCTTCACTAACATCAGACGCCTTCTCACCCGCCTACTGTGGAAAGGTGACTCTGAATCCCAATCAGCACTCAGTAAAGTAAGCTGGACTAAAATAACTGAGAAAGGAAAAAAGTCGGGGGCCTTGGTGTCCTCGACCCGGAAACACAGAATCGTGCACTACTGGCCAAATGGCCAGTCAGAGCATTAACATCAAAAGAACAACAACCATGGATTCTCCTCTCCCAACACTCTCTCGCCAAAGAATGGAACTTTTGTGACCCTGACGCCATTCCTCAGTCTTGGGTAGCCACCCTTCAGCAAGCCAACAAGGGGGCGCAAGTGCAACAATGCTTCAAGAATCCCGCATCTCCAAACCTCCTGTACAGAATAGACAAGGTCAAACATTGACCGAACAGTGGAAGCCTCGAAATGGTCCCTGAACGGCGCAAGACTTTCTCAAACGAAAGATGTCCAACAGATTGATCTAACGGACCTGCAGGAGGTCAGAGTAAACCCTAAACCAAGACAGCTCTCAGTCAAGGGACCACGGACTTTCAAGTCATCATGCAGGCAACTCCTTTCACCGAGTGGAAGGTGGATGTCTGCAAACTTGGCTGGCTCCTCTCAAGCCCCAACGGTGTCAAGACCAGACCAGAGTCCCTATCAAGGACTACTCCTCTCAAGCAGGCTACAACTCTCAATTGGCAACGGAAGTCTACATCCCTATAACTCCCTCCAATATGTACTCAATGGCTGACGTTTTTTATCCATATGATCGTTTCCTCTCTAGAGGCTAAGGTAGGAGGCCTTCAGTGGCGGCTACATCTCCACTCCTGTGTCCCTACTGCTCTCTGGTGCTCCGGAAAAGGAATGGATATCTCGACACTGTGATGCGTGCCCCCACCCATGCTTAGAGGACTGGCTACACCTGTGGTGTGAATTTGTCATTGAAAGGGTTTTTTGGGACAGACTAAGCACCATGTGGTGTAGTGCATACTCACTCACTGATTTCTGGACTAAGGATTTTGTCATCACAGGAAGACTGAACCCCACAACCCAGAAAACAGCAAGTAGGCACCACAGCTTTATCCTTCAGAGACAGGGTCTTCTGGTCCCTGTGGTTCGCCAGGAGAGACAGACGCTTCCAGGACCTGAACTCTAAAACCACTCTCCCTGCACTTCTGCCCCTGTTCAAGCACTCCATCGGACTCGACATCACAGTGGGGGACTGGGTCAAGCTCAGAAGGAACTCAGCTTCAAGAGAAATCGCCAAGGACACTTTCCGGAAGAAATGGTCCACCCCTTTTAGGTGGGCAGACTTCTATGCAAACGACAAGCTTTTCTACTCTGAACTACTGTGGGATCACTCAGCCAGATCTAGCTAGTGCTTCCTCTCTTTCCCTACTTGACAGTCTCTCATCCGGGAAGGATCTGTTTTCTCTTCCCCAAAGATCTTAACCAAGCTCTGTTAATAGAAAACACCTTAGGGAATCTACTCTTACCTGGCTATTAGCTTCTTCCACCTTTAAATTCACTTTCAGTTCTCAATCCCCTCCTTGTAAGCGAAGCCGGCTAAGAATCCCGACACCACAAGCTTCTTATCCTCTTTGGTTCTGTTCATTGCCCGGGTAGACTGTGAGGACCCTGGCCTCAATAACTAAGGGACATTGGGCCCGGTTCCCGACAGGTGCAGCTCCCCACCAATGGAAAGGAGTCGTCCACTAAAAAGCTGCGGCCCGGTCGTTTCTCTTACCACCACCGGACTGCAGGAATTGTCATTTTCTTCCTTCTTTTTTTTTTGTTTTTTTTTGTTTTTAAATTTTAACTCTATTGGCGGGGGGAGCCAGGGAAAGTTCCTAGAGGTGGGTCTTTTTTTAATTTTAACTCTATTGATGCTACCGGCTGACCCCTGGCCGGTATCGCCCACCTGCTGTAGCAGGCATCGCACCTGCTGGTGGGTGCAGCTCCTGCATGTTCCCTCGTTCGAGGCTTGAGCACAGATGTGGCTGCTACGAGTATAATGACAATAAAATAAGGCCTGAAAGGCCGTCCTGTCCAGATTCGACAGATAATTGAATTGGTTGGGCTTAAAGAATTAGCCTTTCAAAAAAAAAAAGAAAAAAAAAAGCTGTTAATACTTAATAGCCTATTATGCGGTTGTGATACGCGACCAAGAGCAGACGGAGCAGGGTGGATTTTTTTTGTTTTTTTTTTCCATGCTAATCTTCTCTGTATCGTTCCAATTTTAATGGATGTCCCGAGGGACAGCAGGGTGGAATTTATTGTTGTCGTCCTTTCAAAAAATATGTCCATGTCCTTTGTTCCATTGTGATACTAAGTTGGACACAACACTTTAAAAGACCACCAGTACTTGGCCCAGCTATTGGCGGCTGGAAAAAAAATAGAGTATAAACGTTTTTAGTTGGATGAATTTGGGCGCTTCTGTACTGGTCCATACGTTTCCAAAAACTGTGGGTACGATACTTGGTTCCGATTCCAGGCGTTGTATGTCATATTTACTGAAACAAGTACCAGCTTCTGTGGGTGTGGGTGTGGCACTGTGAATAGCTCGCTCGGTTGTACTCATTGGTCCCTTCGCGGCTTTCTTGGTTGCCTTTTTTTCTGAGTGTATGTAGCTTTAAATTATCTTTGACTTAGAACCCAGCTGCCTTTTAAGTTAACTTTCGACTCTTTTGTTTTTATTGTGAATTGGTGATTGTATTTGTCGGCCTGAAGATGGGTGGCTGCGGTTCAGCTTTTGAAGAATGTAACAGCTCCACATGTGCAGGGCATAGTGTGGACGTCGTGCATTTCAAGCTGGAAACAACCATCCCCGGGCGGCTTTATGGGGGAAATGCTGTCGACAATGCAAACTTCACAGGCGATGATAGGTGAGAAAACCTCTCTCTCTCTCTCTCTCTCTCTCTCTCTCTCTCTCTCTCTCTCTCTCTCTCTCTCTCTCTNCTCTCTCTCTCTCTCTCTCTCTCTCTCTCTCTCTCTCTCTTCCCTGCACCGACACACACAAACACCAAACATCCACAGAAAGGAGATTATGGTGTTTTTCCACAACACACAGACGGACAAACTCATATTGTCTTTTCGCTGTCACACTCGTGTAAAAAGGCACATAGTGCCACACACCAATACACGTACTACATGTTGTTACGGGGGTTGCTTTTTGTCCTTGTTTTCTTCTTCTGTCATATTTGGGTGCTTTAGGCCCTTTAGGGTACTACGTTATGCATCCAGTCTTGGCATGTTTGGACTATTAGAGAAAAAGTTCGCATTTCGTTGAAATCGTTGAACGCTTCTTTTTTTTAACTCGGAAAGTGTTTTTGTGTTAGGGTTTTCTGGTGTGTGTTGTAGTGTTCTTGTGTTTTTTTGTTCCTTTTTCCTTGGCCTGTTTTTTTTTTTTTTTTTTTTTTTTTTTTTTTTTAGTACTTTGTACTATGGGCCCATATCGTTTGTTTTTCAAGTTTTTCACTATGGGCCTCGCCACACCAGTGTCGAGAACCGTTCTTTTTCACCACTGTCAGACATTTTTCGCCAAAAGATTTTTCGCCAACACCCCCCCCCCTTTGCCACACAGCACTGTTGAATGCACGCACTTGTGAATGTAAGATAGAAAAAACCGAACATCCTGAGGGTACGACAATCGTTAGTCCATCCCGACCTCACACCCACTCACCAAATTCCGAATAGAAGTCGATGGCGCAGCCGAGGACTTTCGAAAGCATTGGAGTAGCAGGCTGGGGATTCAACAACTTTCGACAGGAGGTGTCTGTCGAGAAGCATTCTCTGAAAAATTGTGAATTTTCTTCCCGTCTCCAATTTCGACAGCCTGTGTGGCCAAGAGAAACTATCGAAAATCGTGATTTCGACAGTGGTGTGGCGAGGCCCTATGTTGCTTGCGGAGGTGCAGCACAAACGGTGAATTTTAAATTTTCACTCTTTTGAATATTCTCTCCTTTTCTTTGGGCACGTCTTGATGCATGCAGACCTAGAAACTCGAAACCGGCTGAAACCTCATTTCGACTCATGCAAAAATGCCTGCATGGCCAAGGCTGACGGATTTGAGATCCATTGCTACGATTAGAGGAGAGATGACAGATGAATGACAGTTGTATGGGTTCTCTAGAAGAGAGAGAGAGAGAGAGAGAGAGAGAGAGAGAGAGAGAGAGAGAGAGAGAGAGAGAGAGAGAGAGAGAGAGAGACATGGGAGGAGGTGGGAGGTTTTCAATCATAGTTTTTTTTTTGGTTGTGTCGAGAATCGTGATGATTGATTTGGCATTCTGCAAGTCCTAGAACGCTCATTCAATCACGTTCATTATAGCTGCTGTATTTGGGCAACTTTCAGCATAGATACAGTGAATCAGATACTGACCAAGGCTTAGCGTTCGATTTGGGTTGAAGAGTCTGAAGACGTTAGGCGTTATGGCGACTGCTCCAGATGCAGGCTACAATTCCTTTTTTTTTTTTTCCTCCTCCCTTCCCCTGACTTTATTGTATCCATCTTAGGATCTGAAGATTCTGCATTAAAAAAAAAAAAAAACAGAGGATCTGAATTACCGCCATCTTCTCCTGAATCATTGGTTTGAATCCAGCCTAGAAGTTTGAAGCACAACAACTCCCTAGGCTGGATTCAAACCAATGACCCAATATATAGGGGTTACACAGTGGGTGTAATATGTCCCAAATATGATAGGTGATCTGGACCCATGTAGCATTTCAGCACTGACTAAGGCCTTGCTGTTTTGCCAAACATTACGCACAGGGCTGAAGGTCAGGCCTTGCTGGTTCGCCAAACATTACGCACAGGGCTGAAGGCCAGGCTGAGCTCGATGTGCCAGTGGAATAGAGCCGGTTGACGCTCCCCGGCCAGACTGACGCCGCTCAGAAGCGGCAGCATGGACGAGTGTCTCAATAGCTGAGCGCCTTTAGTCTGCCAGACCATGGATGTCTGAATGGTAGCAGGAATGGCCCCTTCTGGGTACCTCCACCAGCTCATCACAGCCATGGGCTCGATGAACACGAGCTTGGTCCCTGGAAATCCCATGCCTTGGTACTTTGTAGGTGGGTTTTTTTCAGTAATAGGGTCGTATTCCCCATGGACCCCCCACCCATCCATCCTCTCACCAATTCTCCCCGTGTGGAATTCTCAGTACCACACGGGCCCCTGCAGGCCCTCAGCCGTTCGTTTCGCAATCCCCTTTTGCTCAGCCCTCACCTGCTCCACCTATTCCTGCATCAGCTAATCCAGCTAATCCTCCTCACACATCACCCCTTTTGCCGACACCCGCTGGCTCCCATGTTGCACCTCTTTTGCCAACACCCTCTCGGTCTTTGCCTCTCCTCCCAACGCCTTCGCCTCCGTCATTTGCTATTGATCTTCGTCCAGGTCCCCAACTCATAATTCGTACCGCACTCCATCACCTTCTTCATGAAGCTGCTTCGGGTAACTGGTGTCGTGTCAAGGCTAACATTGAGTGGGCACAACCAGCGTGGCGGGCACGACTTTTGCAATGGCTTTATAACAATGTTTCCAATGCGGACATGACAGCAGACATTCGAGAACTCGAATGCCTCATCCGAAAATCCCAGCATACCCGCCAACGTTACACAGCACAACCTCGTGACCCGTTTACTGACCATATTAAGGTCGTACATGTGCATGAGGTAGTTCGTGCCACGAACTTGCGCCATGTGTTGC